CCTCCTCTTTCATATGGCTTACGCTAAGTAGTTGATATTAGTTTGTGCATAATGACATTCAAAACAAAAAGGCCTTTTCTCTCAATTTGGTGGCAATTTTTGAGTTTTATCTTCCATTACATAGAATTCATTCTCTGACTTGTGTAAGTCAGGGATTCCCCTCCAGATTGTTTCCTTATCTGTGAGATAAGGGTTTGGACCAGTAAGTCTCTAGATCCCTCTCAGCATTAAATCTTTATGAATCTAGGATCATTCTAAGCCACTGAAAAATTCATAAGAAGCTTTGCATGTATAGGCATGTAGAGAAGCTGAATTTGGAGAGAATCTTACTACTATTGTAAATATATATACAGTGATTCTATAGTCTATTGTTGATTCTGGTAATGTTTTCATAAGACATTAAATAGTTATGAAAGAAAGGAATGTCATATTCTTCATTTAAAATGTGCCAAAATTTTTTTAAAAAAAGATAAATTATTTAAATATTAGAAATGGTTTTGATAAATCTGGAGCTCCTTAAGAAAATACTGATTTCTAAGTTGGTTATTCTGTATTCCATTCTAGTATTATAGATCTAAAATCCCTGCGGATTTGTTACAAAATGTTTCTAATGCTTAATAAGCCTTGATTTTCCATGGTAGAAACACTCAACAAGTTCTACAAAGAATGGACAAAATACTATAAGAAAAAAAAATTTTAAATCCTTCTATCATCTTTCTTTGACTTGAATTTTACTACATTGAAGATGTTTCCTGATTTCAGTGTGTCAAGATTTAGTTTAGGGGGTCCAAACTACGTTGGATCCAAAATCTCTTAAATACCCCAATTGAAAGAGTGGAACTGTAACAACTACATCCTACATCCAAGAATTATCCAGTTATCTACCTGTAAGAGATTTTTTTCTTAGTTTTCTTTATCATAAATTAGTAAATGCCAATTAAACATTCAAGTAACTTATTATCAGCTAAAGAGAGAGCTTACTACAACATAAGTAAGATTTTCACTTCTCAGTAGACAGCTTTTCTCTGTCTTGGTTGCTCATTAGAATCATTCTAGGGGACCAGCAGTTGATGTAATGGCTATGTCGTTGGACTCCCATGTAGTTAACTGTGGTTTGAGTCCCAGACCCGGTGGCTTAAACTCATGCCGGGCACATGTGTGTGTGTACCCAAGATCCCGAGAGGAGAATGAAGAAGGGATTGCAGTGTGGCCATCCTCCCTGGGGGGTGATTTCTCGCTTTCTGTCTCTCTGCCTCTCTCTGTCTTTCTGGCGAGCACACATGCAAAAACAAACAAACAAACAAACAGAAAACAATCATTCTAGGGAGCTGTAGAGATCTCTGCTGTCTAGCCTGTCCCTCAGGCCAATGAGATCACATCCCTCAGCTGAATCCCTGGGATCTGTAGTGTTGAAAGATACTCAGGTGCTTCCAGTATGCAGCTAAGGTGCAAGTCTTTCTTCTAAAGTTATTTATTTGTTTGAAATATCATAATATTCTAGTTATTAGAAGATCCAAATGCGTTGGACTTTTGGATAGCAAAGTGTGGTGGAGATGACCTTTGAGAGTGAATTGAGACTGAGTTGGAAACCTGTCGCTTATCAATTTTGTTAACTTGGTCAGATGTTTTACTCTGGTCTGCAATTTTATTCCT